TTTGTTTGCATGTTAAGTGTTCATAGTAATCTCTGATTATTCTTTTGCTTTCTACTGAGTCTGTTGTGATTTATCCTCTTTCATTTAGAATCCTATTTATATGTGTTTTCTCCCATTTTTCTTTGTGAGCCTGGCTACAGGTTTGTCTATTTTGTTTATTTTTTTGAAGAACCAGCTCTTGGTTTCATTGATCTTTTGGATTGTGTTTTTAATTTCCATTTCATTTATTTCTGCTTTGATTTTTATTATTTCCTTTCTTCTACTGACTTTAGGATTTTTTGTTCTTTTTCTAGCTCTTGAGATGTGAGATTGTTTCTTTGAGTTCTTTCTTGTTTCTTGGTGTAAGCCTGTATTGCTATGTATTTTCCTCTTATTACTGCTTTTGCTGCATCCCATACATTCTGGAAAGTGGTGTCTTCCTTGTCGTTCAACTCAAAGTTTTTTTTTTTTTAAAGATTTATTTATTTATACAAGCACTGGGTACAGTCAGAAGCACGGGAGGGTGAGAGAATTCACCAGAGCCAGAGTGGGGAACAGAGCAGGCAGACTGACGAAATACACTGCTGAGGGGAGCAGCAGGCGAGACAGGAGAGGTCTGTCGTGCCATGTGGGACCCTCGCTGGCGGCAGGGGATTGAACTGGCACTGCAGAGGCTGCGGGCAGCTTTGCAGCCCAGCGCTCAACTGCTGCGCCACCAGGGGAGGCCCTCAAAGTATTTTTTAATTTCTTCTTTGATCTCATTAGTCCAGTGGTTTTCCAGTGGTGTGGATATCAATCTCCATGAAGTGGGAGGGTTCCTTGTTTTCTTTTCTTTTTTCTTTTTAAAGGAAGCTCTTTTTTTTTTTTTTTAAAGATTTATTTATACAAGCAATGGGTACAGACAGAAGTCGGGAGGGTGAGAGAATTCACCAGAGCACAGAGCAGAACAGGCAGACAGATGAAGTACACTGCTGAGGGGAGCAGTGGGCGGCAGGAGAGGTCTGCGCGCCATGTGGGACCCTTGCTGGCGGCCGGGGATCGACCTGGCGCTGCAGAAGCTGTGGGCAGCTTCACAACCTAGCGCTGAACCGCTGCGCCACCGGGGATTCCCGGGTTCCTTGTTTTCTTTTCATGATTTATTTCTAGCTTGATGTCTTTATGATCGGAGAAGATAGTTGGAATGATTTTGTTCTGATCACTACGTGGCACCAGAGCTCTTTCCTAGTATCTTTCCAGAGCTGTGCTTTTTCCCCCCTGGGTTTTTGGGGAACTGAGTGGGGATGGCGTGGAATGGCTCAACGGTGTGGGGTGCTGCCCTGTGTTGCGTGTCATGGGGATCCCACACCCCAAATTTTGTGCCCCGGGTCTCAGTTCCAAAGCCCTCAGATCCAGGATGTGGGTGGTAGCCCAGTTCAGTGTCCGCAAAAATGGGCGCCTTTTGCACCTCGCTCCCATTCCCGAGCACCTGGCTTTTGATTACTCAGTGAGGGTCATTCACCTCAGTGACGGTTCCCAAGTGTATCCCCACTAACCTAGATTGCCGGCATGGGGATTTGGGCAGCCGTGACCTATGTATACTTTTTGTGCGGACGCGCTTTTCAACACAAGCTTACAGGTTGGCCTTGGGCTATTTGCAGGTCTCTGCAGAGTCCTTATCCTCCCCTAATGGTGCCCAGAGATGTTCACTCACCTCTGTGGCGACTCCTGCATGGTTCTCCACAGTTCCCGTTCATGGAGTGCGATGCCTGCAATAGTTCCTTTCCACACACTGTCCCACTTGATCTGTAGTTTGTTCTTGTTGTTGCTTTTTTTTCTTTCTGTTGGTTGGCGTTTACCAGCTTTGTGGAGGGGGGGGAGGGTAGCAAGGTTCTGAGCTTTCCTTTCTTTTCATCCTCTTTTATGGCAACTTTCCACTTCGGGCAGTTTGCCAGAGTTGCCCGTGTATCTTCCATGTCCTGTTTTTCACAGGGACCTGCTACTTTTCCTATTAACTTTTTTTTTAATGGGAGGACTTACTCCCAGGGTTTCCCCACTGCCATGTTGATCTCCTCTCCCCTGGGTCACAAATACTTTTAAGCTCTAAAGATAAGGACCCCTCTCACCACACAATATCATATACATAGTATTCTGCCACATTTTCCTGGGCTTGCAGCTCCTGAAGCCCACCAGGGCCCTTTCATATTAGGTGGCCAGCTTGTGCCAGACTGCAAGGCCAGAAAATAAGGCCCTTAAAGATGTCCCAGCAAAGTGCTTGGGATGGGGAAAGGACAAGTGTGTGATAAACCTGAACTTTAAACTTGGGTCATTGCCATTGTGAATTCAGCATATGAAGTAATAGACATGAAATTGCTTCCCAAAATTAAAATGTCAATCAGTGGTTTTTTAAGGCTTCTCGCAACCAGGAAGGCAGTGAAGCTTGGAGACAACAAGGTAGACACCCTGTGCCAGTCCCTACTCTGCCACCATCTGGTCATGTGCGCAAGTCGCAGGGCCTCTTCCAGCTCTACTCTCTTACCTCTGCATTGGGTTTGTGGGGAAGAGGTGCTGAGAGCAGGTTGGAAGTGTGACCCCAACTGTCCCTCATTCCAGCAGTGACCTTGGGCAAAGTCACTGGCTTTTCTGTTTGTAAAGTAGTGTTAACAGTGTGCCCATCCCCAGTAGTTGTAAATACCAAGGGTGGTTGCAGTGCCAGTTCTACACAGCTAGCTGCTCCAGTCACCATCACCTGGGTTTTGGAAGGGCTGGGAATAAGGAAAGGATGCATGTGTGCAGTCCTTCAGCTTCCATCCTGATGGAATGTCTTGTAACTATCATGTGAAAACTCCAACCTGCTTAGGTGCTAAGTGACATCTTCTGGACAGAGACCAATGACTCTGCCCAACATAACTACTGCAGACAGAGAGCACAGAACAAAGGAAGATGCATAAGTTGTTACCACAAAACTGTCTTTTACTAACAAGACCAAAGCACCCAAACACTTTTTGTGCACACCAACTTTTCTTTCAAATTTTAAAATGTGCATACATTTATTTTTAAACTTTAGACACACTTTGGAGAAAAAACCAACCCAGCTATTCTTATAAAGCATGTGAGATGTGAGATTTACATTACTACATTGACTTCTGCACACTTGCTCTTGGGAGTTCAGGCCATTTCCCCTCTGCCTGCAGGGACTGCACACTGGAGGAAGGTTACACAGCTGTCTGTGTAACAGATGCTGGGAAGTGGGTTAAATCAAAGAACTGCACATCTCTTAACATCTGGTAGATAAACAGGAAAGTGTCAACACATCTGGCTTAAGAAAAAACTGTAAATAAAATCTTCCACATTTACCCCGCCAGTACCTTTCTTTCAGAATTAGTAGGAATGCCTGACAAGGACTGTATCGGGGGACTCAGGGTAATTCCTGGGCAGCTGCTCCGGCTTCCCTGAGAAACTACAGTTTACACAAAAGATTTCTGCCAAGCCAGGAGGGCAGCCTGAAGGAAGCAGGCAGACATGGTTGTAAGCTGCTGTGTGATTGGAGAAGGTGGCACAGGAATGAATGGTGCTTTCAGATGAGCTGTGGTTATCAGTGGATCTCTCAGCTCGGTCATGATGGCAGGTCCTGCCTTCAGGTAACAGGGTGCTGAGCTGCCCAAGAAGTCCATTAGCAGCGCCAGGAAGTTGGTAAAAATATAACTATAAGGATCTGTATCCAGAGACATCATCAACCTAACTTGAAAGAAAATAGTAAATTAGAAACAAGAGTGTCTGCAAAGAAAAGGCATCATTTAGCAACAGAATGTCACATGTTTAGGGTGTTAGCCCCACAAGTAAGGTTCAGTAATTGCCTAAGCGATGTATACATATGAAGGGGATTTGTCTTCTGCATCGATATTCTTCTTTTTCCTTTGTGAAAGGAGTAGAAACTAGGGATAATAAATATTTAGACAAGTCCCCGAGTGACCTATCTTATGGTACATGGCACATGCCTGGGCTCACAGGGTAAGTACATAGATGCCTCAGATCACTAACCCCACAACCACAAAACGCTTCTTAAAACCTAAGTCTACATGACAGACTTGAGGGTATGCTAATCCAAATAAATGCCCATTTTTAAAAAAATAAAACGTATCAGACAAATAGCACATATCCCTTGGTTGGAACATTTATGTTTCTTATGTGTATAAATGTACACTAGCATTTCTATGCTTAGTACATTTAATCAAATGTGAGATTTTCTTCACCCAAATAGTGGACAAAAAATGACTATATTTACCCAAATTTGTATTTTGATAACTCACCAAATTTTGAAATAAGTTTAATTGCAGGGACATGGGTTCAGCTGAGTTTCTGTTTCTCACCCATTTGAATTATATCCACTGAACTTACAATAAATTGAGCGAGGGCAGTCTGTTTTTATTATATACACCTGGCCTATGCTCTAGAATTGCCAACCTTAGCCATTGCTACTTGCTTTAATTTGTGCTCATAAAAAGGGACACTTGATTGTCACCCCTGAAGTCATGCAATCCGCTCCCCAGAGCAGGAGCTGCCTCCGACTGCAGGAGCCTTTGGAACTTTACACAAAGTAGTAAAACCTCTGCTGAGAATGGGGGCCATAGAACAGCAATGCACCTGCTCTAGCTTCCTAAAACCACTCAGTGTGCACAAAATATAGAGCGGGTAAATGCACAAGGTCCAACCACTGGTGGAAATGTTGACTCCCCAGGCATTTCAGCAAAGCCCTTAATATCCTGCTTTTTTTTTCAGTTTTTGGAATGTCTTCCCCCATGTGCATCTGAGAATATGTGGCAAAATCTGTCACTAGGATTATTACCTTAGAATCTTTCTGACTGATGAGAGGCATCCTTGGTTGGAACTGTCTGTCTTTGTGTGTCAACATGGAAGACACCCACTTTCAATATTATGTACAGAAAAGTGGCTGCCACCAGTGCCATGCAGTCAGCTCTGTTTAGAAAACTTAAACCTACAGACAACAAGCACCAAGAAACATGCAAAAACTACAGAGGCTCTGGATGTGAAGAATTCATATTTTACATTAGAGAGAGGAAAACTGCTACAAAATGGTGATGGGATGGATCTGTCACTCATGCTCTAACTGGAGGGTCTTTGCAACAAGGGACTGTGAACTTGTTTATTCTTCTTGTTCCTCTTTCAGGATTCACAGTTGGTTCTGTGTCAGGCATCAAGTAACTTGGTGACTTTTGGTCCAAATGGGTTCTTAGTCTTTTTGCTCCTTTTTGTCTCTCTGTGAAGAGCCAAGTTCAAACGCTGGAAACCGTGATGTCTCTGGGACCAGGATATCAGACAGAAAGTGAATTGCACCAGCCATGCCTGCAATGTAAAAATAAATGCTTCATGAAATGGTGAGGGAGGTGGTGATCCCAAAGCAGTGGCATTCAGTCTTTCTTTATAGGCCTGTGAGGATTTGGGACAGGGTGCTGAGGATTTAAAATTGGCATCATTAGAAAAAAAAAAGAAATTCTTATATTAGCATCCAGCAGGTTTTCCTCACTCTTATTTTGTAATTTTATCTATTATTTATTTATTTATTTATTTATTTATTTATTTATACAAGCACTGGGTACAGTCAGAAGCACAGGTGGGTGAGAGCATTCACCAGAGCCAGAGTGGGGAGCAGAGCAGGCAGAAGGACCTTAGTACACTGCTGAGGGGAGCAGCAGGCAGCAGGAGTGGTCTGTGCGCCATGTGGGACCCTCCTCTGGTGGCCGGGGAGAAGCTGGGGATCAAACCAGCACTGCAGAGGCTGCGGGCAGCTTCGCACCCAGCGCTCAACCGCTGCACCACCAGGGAGGCCCATCACTCTTATTTTTTTAAAGATTGGTTTTCTGGGCTTTAATCTTGTATCTTCAAACTTGAAGATGATCTCACAGATCTGCTACCAAAAAAGTCACCAAACATTTATACCAAAATTAAAACTAATTGTTCCACAAGTTAATACACAATCTTTTCTAGAAAAAAGCAGAGAGGATACTATTTAATATAGTTGATTAGGCTGGTATTACCCTGATAACAAAACCAGACAAAGACAGTACTAAAGGGGAACACTACAGACCAGTATCTCTCATGAATATATACAGATACAAAAAAAACTCAAAAAGGGCAGATCAACATGGCGGCGAGGAAACACTGCGAGTAAGATCTCCCATTAAAAAAAAGTTAATAGGGAGGAAAAGCGGCAGGTCCCAGTGAGAACTGGGACACGGAAGATAAACGGACGACTCCAGCAAACTACCCAAAGAAGAAAGTTGCCATAAAAGAGGACTAGAATGGAGGAAAGCTCAGAACCCTGATACCCTCCCCCACCCACAAAGTCGGCACTCTCCGACCAACAGGAAGGAGGAAAAAACAAAAAAACTAAAACAACCAACAAGAACAAAATACGCATCAAGCAGGACTGAGAGTGGAAAGGAACTATTTCAGCCACCACACGCTGTGAACTGGAGCTGTGGAGAACCCTACAGGATTTGCCAAGGAGGTGAGCAAACGACTCCAGGCACCATTAGAGAAAAACAAAGACTCCCAGAGACCTACACACAGCCCCAGACCATCTGGTAAGCTTGTGCGGAAAAGCAGCGCGCTTGACAAGGATACGAAGATCACGGCTGCCCAGGTCCCTGCACCTGCAAGGCCCCTTCTGGTCTGCAGTCAGAGCCCAGAGGGGGAGCTGGAACCCACCGCCAGGGCAGACCGGGCACGCAGGAAGTACGTCCCGCATCGCCATTTTAGAACAGGGACATTTCTTCAGTAAAGACTGCCTGAAACCAGCAGAAGGCTCCCGGAGGAGCCAGAGTTGAGCTGGGAAGTTCACCCACGCCAGGCCCCTTCTGGCCTGCAGTCCCAGCCCAGAGGGGGAGTGGGAACCCACCGCCGGGGCAAACCGGGCGCGCAGGAAGTGCGTCCTACATCGCCATTTTAGAACAGGGACATTTCTTCAGTAAAGACTGCCTGAAACCAGCAGAAGGTTCCCAGAGGAGCCAGAGGTGAGCTGGGAAGTTCGCCCACACCAGGCCCCTTCTGGCCTGCAGTCCAAGCCCAGAGGGGGAGCGGAAACCCACTGCCGGGGCAGACTGGGCGTTCAGGGGAGCGTGTCCCCACATTGGCATTTTAGAATAGGGACCTTTCTTCAGTAAAGACTGGTTGAAACTGACAGATGGCTCCTGGAGGAGCCAGAGGGGAGCAGAGAAGTTCACCCAAGATGCCTGCCAGTCCCAGCAACACAGTATCCCAATGCATACGGCAAATTAGAAAACAGACAGTAGGGAGTAGAAGAACCACATGCAACCTAGCAACTCCTCAGGAAAAAAACACACCACAAAAAGAAAACCACCCCCCAGATTGCAATGACAGTAACTTGGAAGAACTTCTGAGCCTTCCATGATTACAGAACTGACAGAAGTCATAAAGGAAAACAATGATAAGGGAAAAATAATCAACGTTCAGAAGAATGAAATTTAGTCCCTAAAGAGGGAAGTAAAAGAAATACAGGAGATCAAAGAATTAATGGAGGCGCTAAAGAACTCTGGGAAAAGCAATGAAAGCAGAATAGATGAAATGGAAGAATGGATAAGTACTCTTGAAGACACAGAAATAAAAAGAACCAAAACAGAAAAGGAAAGAGAAGTATGAAGGAAAAAGACCGAAGAAAGACTTCGGGAACTATCTGACTCCATGAGGAAAGGAAATATAAGAGTTATAGGAATCCCAGAAGGAGAGGAGAGAGATGTAGGAACAGAGAAAATATTCAAGGAGATAACTGAAGAGAACTTCTTAAACGTGAAGAAGGAGCTGAAAATTGATAGATAAGAAGCAAGAAGAACACAAAACTTCCACGACGAAAGGAAAAATACAGCAAGACACGTAATAGTAAAGCTCCCAAGAATCCAGGACAAGGAAAAAATAATGAAGCTGACAAGAGGGAAGAAACAGATAACATTCAAAGGAAAACCAATCAGACTGACATCAGACTTCTCCAAAGAAACACTACGGGCAGGGAGAGAGTGGAGGGACATAGTCAACAGACTCCACGAAAACAGATGCTAACCAAGAATACTCTATCCCGCAAAGCTCTCCTTCCTCTATGAAGTAAGAATAAGGACCTTCCCAGACAAACAGAAACTCTGGAATTTCATTATGACTAAACCCCCACTCCAAAAAATACTACAAGGAGTCCTAAAGCCAGAACCTCAGAGGGATGAATAACAATGAAAGAAGGCCAAAAAAAAAAGTTATTAAAAGAATAAATACATAAAATCAAAGGAAAGACAAACACAATGGCAAATACATATGCTAACATATCAATATTAACTCTAAATGTAAATGGACTAAACTCTTCAATAAAAAGACACAGAGTCGCAGGCTGGATCAAGAAACAAAACTCAACGTTTTGCTGTCTCCAGGAAACACGTTAGCTACAAAAGATAAAAATAGACTCAAAGTTAAAGGATGGAAAACAATCCTACAAGCAAATGGACCAAAAAAGAAAGCAGGAACAGCTATGCTTATATCGAATAAAACAGATTTCAAACTCAAAACAATAAAAAGAGACCCCAACGGCCACTACATTATGATCAAGGGGACAATACTTCAAGAAGAAATAACACTCATTAACATATATTCACCAAACGAAGGAGCACCAAAATATATCAGACAACTATTGTCATCTCTGAAACAGACATCAGAGAAAACACATACGTAGTGGGGGACTTCAACACACCACTATCAACAATGGAGAGATCAACAAGACAAAAAATAAGTAAAGACACTAAAGCTCTAAATAAGGATCTAGAGCGCTTGGGCCTAACAGACATCTATAAAACACTAAACCCCCAAAAAACGGAGTACACATTTTTCTCAAGCGCACGCAGATCATTCCCCAGGACTGATCACATTCTGGGACACAAGACAAACATCAACAGGTACACCAAGATCGAAATCATACCAACCATCTTTTCTGACCATGAAGGCATCAAACTAGAAATAAAACATAAAAAGAAGGCAAGGAACTCTCCTACCTCATGGAGATTGAAAACCACCCTACTGGAAGACCACTGGACTAATAAGGAGATCAAAGAAGAAATTAAAAACTTCTTTGATATAAATGACAAGGAGGACACCAATTTCCTAAATGTATGGGATGCAGCAAAAGCAGTAATAAGAGGAAAATATATAGAAATAGAGGCTCACATCAAGAAACAAGAAAGAACTCAAAGAAACAACCTAATCTCGAAGCTCAAAGATCTAGAAAAAGAACAAGAGAAAAACGCTAAAACCAGTAGAAGAAAAGAAATAATAAAAACCAAAGCAGAAATAAATGAAATTGAAACTAAAAAAACAATCCGAAAGATCAGTGAAACCAAGAGCTGGTTCTTGGAAAAAATCAATAAAATAGACAAAGCCCTAGCCAGGCTCACAAAGGAAAAAAAGGGAGAAAGCGCAAATGAACAGGATCATAAATGAAAGAGGAGAAATCACAATGGACACAGCAGAAATCTAAAGAATAATCAGTAACTACTATGAACAGTTATATGGAAACAAGTTCAACAATCTAGAGGAGATGGACAAATTCCTACACTCTACAATCACCCAAAGCTAGATAAAGAAGAAATAGAACACCTAAACAGACCAAGTACAATTAGCGAAATTTAAATGGTAATAAAAAACCTCCCCAAAAAACAAAAGCCCAGGACCTGATGGATTTACAAATGAATTCTACTAAACATTCAGAGACGAATTAGTGGTTATCCTTCACAAACTCTTCCAAAAAATTGAGAAGGAAGGGACAATACCAAACACGTTCTATGAAGCCAACATTACACTAATACCAAAACCGAACAAGGACACACAAAAAAGGAAAACTACAGGCCAATCTCCCTAATGAACACTGATGCAAAAAACCTCAATAAAATTTTAGCTACCAGAGTCCAACAATGTATCCATAAGATAATTCACCACGACCAAGTAGGATTCATGCCAGGGACACAAGGACGGTTCAGCATCCGAAAATCAATCAACGTTATCCAACACATCAACAAAAAGAAATATAAAAACCATATGAAAATATCAATAGATGCCGAGAAAGCTTTCGACAAAGTGCAACACCCATTCATGATAAAAGCCCTTGAAATTCTTGGGAAACAAGGAACATACTTCAACATCATAAAGGCCATATATAACAAGCCAACAGCCAGTATCATTCTCAATGGTGAAAAGCTGAAAGCATTTCCATTAAGATCTGGAACAAGACAAGGATGTCCACTCTCACCACTGCTTTTCAGTATAATACTGGAAGTCGTAGCCAGAGCAATAAGACA